TACACGACGCTCTTCTCTCTCTCGTGGTTATCCTCACCATTCTAGGCCACTTTAGAAACCGAAAACTTGATTTTCGTCACAATAATATCCATCACCAGTGGTGGACGAGTTTAAGTTAATGACTTGTTTCTGCGCACATTTTCCAATCTTGTTGACGATTGGGAGGAGCCTAAAACCTTTTAAAAATAGAAAGAAGTAAACAAGAAGCTGTGTAAACTAGTAAATGTATGTTTACCCAGTAACCCAACAAAATGTCCCATTAACACAATGCACATGTAATGCGCATGATCAAATTAATGGGGTCGAGATTCAGTCAGCTACTTGACGACCAGCTGATCGGACCTGGCTTAGTCACACTGGCGTGAAAATGATTGCTTTACAAAGAAGTGTAGTTTCAGGTGGGAAGGGGGGATTATGTCCTGATCTTTGAAAAGTTGTTTGAGAATCTCTGAGAACAAGCAGGGATTAGGAGAAGAAAATGAGATCGAAACACCTGAAAAGGGACCCGCACCAGTCCCTTTGACCAGCTGATCTTTCCGAGAAGAGGGGGTGCTTACTTGAGGCACGTAGGCTACAACGAACTAAATTCCAACCAGTTTGTAACCACTCTGTTTTCGCTGGAATTTTCAAGCATGACAGCCGTATTACCAGTCAGACTCATGCTGGGGCTAGCACCAATGGCTGTCTCGAACGGTTAGATTAGGTATGACCTTCTAACTCAGCTGATTTCAGTGCTCCTTCGCCATGAAGTTCGGCTTCGCTCTATCAACGATTGGAGCAATGTGCGCTTGGATTCATCATGACCCAAATATCAACTATCTTGGTGTAGCTTGCATGACATTCAACATTTTGAACTTCGCAGCACCAATGGCTGGTTTGGTGAGTTTCAACAAGTTTTATGATACCGTGACCCAGAAAAAAGTAAAAAAAAGAAGAAAAAGGTAAGATGTTCAACCCAACGTCAACACCAGCTCAAGGATTTGGCCGCAATTGAAAACGCGGAGGCTAAATGCCTCAAGCCCAAAAGCACCAGCGCGAAAAGCCTTGGTTTTGAATGGGTTCTATCTGCTTCTCAACCATGATCTTCTTGTTCCCCTTGGGTCACACTTTGCGCCCATCACGAATGTCCCCCTCCCCTCCCCCGAGTAACGAGGCAGCACATTTCCGCGCACCATGGTGGGCTCGGTGCTATGGGTAGACTCACCATGGGTGACCTCTAATCTAATCTCTCTCCTTGAAAGTTAGGTGGCAATTGAAGGGGCTGACGGACGCCTCAAATTTCTGTCCATCTCATGGTTTGGAAATGAAAACAGTGGGTTCAGATTCGGGCTGAATGAAGGCGGATGAATGCGTTCATACTTCGTGATCCGACTCTGTTTCAACCGCACTTCCAGATCGCTGAAGCGATTTGGACTCCTAGATTCAGGCGATCGGAGCGAACGCGTTCTTACAGTTGGACACTACCGAACGCTGGCGATTGGCGGTGGAACGCACTTTCCACCACTTTTTCATTTTCATTAAGATCTCTTCCAAAGAGGGATGATTCTTTGCTTCTCATGCTAATCGCTGGTTTGGAGGGAGCAAGTGTGGGTGGCAGGCCGTGAATGTAGAGTCGCTTTCGCTGCAGATGCTGGGGCGTGTCAGTGACTGTGTATGGGGCGGCGCTCTCACCAAAGGCTAAAGCGGACAGCGACAGAAGCTGGTAGAAAACTGACTGGCGCCGCACCGAACCCAGCGCCCCTGCCACGCCCCTGCGTTTGCAGCGGAAGCGACTGTCCTCTAGGAGGAGGGTTTTTATAAGGATACAGAGGGTTCATATAAGGATATATCTCAGTCGCCCTGTAAGATAGCAGAATTCGGTGGTCGGTAATTAGATATAGTAGCTCACGATTACTGCTTCCTAAACCGAATCCTCAGTAGAAACGAACCATTTATCACCGAGGTTATTCAAGAGTATTATCTGAAATTCCCTACCGTAACCACTACCGTACCACCAAAGCTAAAAGCTAAAATTTAGGGAGTCGTACTGCGAAAACGTTGCTGTGACACATTGCCATTGCCGATGTGCATCGCTAATCTGCTCGTCTCATCGCAATGGTTTATCTATGGAAATATGGTGTGGGACAACTATATCATGGTACGTCTCAGAAATTTTCACTTACAAAATTTGTTCTTATGTTAGGGTCGACTTTAAGTGACTTTTTTAAGGTACCCAACGGTATCGGAGTTGGGCTGGCTATTATACAGCTCAGCTTCTTCTTTATTTTCCCGCGAAGAGAAAACGGGAAATCAATGGTATCGCATGTGGCCGGCTTCTTCACGGCACCTGAAGAGCCTGTCGACATCGAAAAAGGTTGGTTTAGAGGTTTTACACGTGGGACAATTTGACTTGAGAAGTGTTCTTCCAAAAATGGTTTAGTTATAGGCGATCGTATTTCAACACAAACAACATCTACCGGTATTTCAGTGGCCAATGGGCACAGCTTGATGAGGAAGTTCTCCGAAGTTCTTGAGTGAGTTAGCCGGTTTGGTTGTGTTGTCAATGTAAGCGATAATTTTTAGTAAAAAAAACGCAGAAGATTAGGTACAGGAAGGTTAGTCGTGTCCCGTCTACCTTTAGGTCCTCCAAGTGTGATCACCACACATCTACGCGCGCGGTAGAAAAATAGAAGAGGGCATCTTACGTGATTGCAGGCAACAAGAGAGCCCACTCAATTGCGCCTTTGTGTCCATTTCGCTGAATAAGGCTCAGGCGTGGAGCGCAGACGACCAGAGTGGCCGAGGGTTAGCGTTGCAGAAAAGACAGCATGCACCAACAAGCTCTTTAAGCCAAGCTTTGGATGAGGGAAGGCGCCTGGATGCAGTTTCCACTTAGCATAAGTTTAGGTTGAGAGAAGGGGCCCAGGAATGCCGCCTAAAGGTTCCCTCTTCCCCTTTCACCCTCTTACCCCCTCCCCACCTCACTACCCCACCAACCCCAGCTAAGCGAACGCCCGAATTTGCCGCTTGCACGCTATCGATGGATTGAACTGAAACAAGTTCACGAAATTCACCTACGGTTACTAAACAGTACCACTGCAAAAAACGGATTTGCGGCTGTCGGTCAGTGACGCGCGCGGTCGCGGAGCAGCACATCAATCGATTGGACGATGTCGCCGCTCACCTAAAACCGCAGACGGTGTGCACATCCTTAACTAAAGGGGATCGATAACTTGGCAACCGTAATGTTATCCTGATAAATAAAAATTATGCAGAGTAGATCTTCGAACCTTCTTCAGCTATTCTATGCTGTGTAGATATTTTTATGGAATGGGGAAATGGATACACGCTTGAGTCGCTCCAAAGCCGCTTCGCGACCGCACGCGTCCCATCTCGACTATCACAAATTTGTGGGATCCTGGGCTTAACGAGAGGCATGACATTTAGGGCACTTAAATAGCGAATCAAATATGTGCATTGTTTCCAACGATTGTGCGTTTCACTTTGTCTGTTCAGGAAGACTGCCCGCTCAGGAAGCTTCGCTGTTGCTGCCAATGACCTACGGTACGCACGTTCACGAACAGCCAGTGTTCCGGAAATTTATTCAAAGACCAAAAAGGTCTAACTAATCAATCAGCGGGGTATCGTCTAATGAGCTACTTATTATTTTTATTTGCCATCATTCAGTTAATATAAATATGTATTGATTGTTGATTCATTTTGCTGCCTTGTTTGTACATATTTTTGTCATGTTCACTTTACATGCTTTACAATAAATCATAATATTTTCTTCATGCGCTCGCTAGTGAAGGAAGAAGTAAATAGTTTGAGAGTGTGAACGCAGGAGCAGTTTGTCCTTTGGGATGCTTTTAGTGAGCATAAACCCATACCTCTTGCCAAATTACGGCACCTAGATGGCAAGGATACTCATCGTAATAATTTGATACCATCCATCTGGTTTGATAAAATGTGAGCCCCCTCCTTTTCTCCTCATCGTTTGCGTTTACGCCATACACTACTGATCTAAAAAGGTCTAATCAGTCAACGGGCCCTATTTCAATGAGCTTCTTATTTTTCATACTTCGTCGGTCTCCTTTATCCCAACGCTCCAATTCGCCTTCCTAGTAGTGGACCCTTCAGCTCACAACTTTCAGTGTTAGTGAAGGAACTTTGGTTCTTTACGAGAACCAAGGAATCGGACCATTAAAATATAACGATATGGTTTCCTGATGTCCCATTCAAAGTTGATGGGGACAACGTAAAATGGTAATGAGGAGAGGTGTGACCAAGGCACAACCAATGAATCTGTCCAGTCGAATACGGTGGCCCACGGACCATACCCTAAAGGCAAGCTATGCGCTCGAAGATGGTGCTTGCCATGTGTGGGAGAATGGATCCGCAACTGCGGTAACGTGCCACTTACTCGGCTCGAAAGTGCACGAAAGCGGGCCTGTAGTGATACCCGTGTCCCGTCTTCACAGCACTTTGCATCGAAACGAACGACTCCGCGAAACACAGCGGTGGAGAGACGACACCAGAAGCGAGAGGGTGCACACATCCAGCGCGTTCGGCCATGGATGAGCGTGTGGCTGGCCGTGCGACAGTGCGCTCAGAGTATGGAGGCGGCCCCTGGCATGCTATCTGTTCTCATGCGCTTTTGACCGGTGAAAGTGGCCCTCGCTACTGCAGCTGCGGACCGGCCTTCTCAGGACCGTAGCTACAGTAGCGAGGACCAGGATTTGCGGAGGTAGGTGTGCAGTTAGACTACCTTTTTTGACCTTTTTTATTTCGATTAGTGCAATGACAGAACTGCATGATATTGTGATACTATTAGAGTTAGCACTGAGCTTTACAATTCAACAGCACCTAGACAATTTGGAGTCCTGCCCGGGGCAAATTGTTGGATATATGTTTACTATTGGGCTCCCGAGATACCTGCGATCCTAAGTTTATATCAATACTCGCTGCAATTTGGTTGATGCTTTATTTTAAAGTTTGCTCTGTTTGCTTCCAAGTTTGCCAAGTTTGAAGGCGGACTCTGAAGGACGCTTCTGATGGGGGGGGGGGGAGAGAGATGCGCTCCGCACTCGACTTCCAATGAAGAGGGAGATCGCCTTTAATTAAGAACAGAACCATCTTAATCGCCCGAACGAAATCTTGGTCATACTTTATCCAGCTAGACAGTAGTGGTTCCAAAAGATGGCTTATGAAGGGCGACGAGAGGGCGCTGTTCGGCGGGGGGGGGCATTTTGCATGTCGCCACTTCCCATCGACTGTCTACCATCTAGACAGCCTCTTCCAGTTTGACAGGTTTTACCATGATGGCTTGACGAGCTTGCTCCAGCTTCACAAGAGTTCACAGGTTTCACCAGAGTGAGACTTGTAAACCGGAACTAGTGAAGCAACGAAAGTGCAAAATGCCCCCCCCCCCGTCGCCGAACTGCGCCGGACGAGAGGCTTGATTGTTCATTGAGTTTAACTTTTGGCTAGATATAGATGACGCTTTCCGTGGCCCCTGTTCCTCCTGCTCCATTACGCGTTATTACGGTAACTTATTGTTGATCTCAATGTGGGAAATTTATGGCGCCGAGTCATTTCACACATCTGTAGCTGATCGTTGCCGTTTATTACAAAGTAGCCAGAATTTGACTGATATTTGCGACGTCTAGCAACAACAACAGAAGCAACAGAACATCGAAGTTCATCCACGTCATTGTTGCTCCAGAAAACTCTACGAAAGAAAATCGTAAACCAGAACGCGTCTCTCATCATCGCAATTCCATACAATGCAAACACTGTGATAGCATCTATTTACTTACCACTACTATCAACTGGCAGAACAAAAGTAAAATGACGTGTACATATTTTAGTTTGAGCACGTTGCAAGGCACAGGGGAAGGAAAAATTTTTATAAAAAGTTCTCGCCGTAAATCACTCACCTCTATCGGAACAGCGAAAATCACTTGCTTTTATGATATCTTTCAGATGCACATCTACGCCCCCTTTTCAATATGACAAGATTATAAGTTCAGGGAAACAGGCGGTATACAGTCTCCCGGAAAACTGCGCGCGTTTTCAAATGTGTCGGCTCCGTGAAGCACACAAATTTGCATACCGTGGCGAAGTTTAGTTACCAAAGTTTGTGGTACACTGATTAGCTTATGTTACACGGTAGGAAGCTCTCAGGTGAGGAAAGGAAGCGAGAGCGACGCTGATTTTGCTCTCCATATGTAGACATATGCTGCCTCGACAAAAACTGAGTTGTACTGTGTGGCTCGGTGCTCCCACTCATTCAGTTTTACGCACACTTTAAGATACTGTAACCACGTGCTTCCTAAACTTATAGTTCAGTTTTGGTTCGAGCATGAACGTTAAACGTTAAACGTTAAACGTAACAGAAACATGGATCCGCCAAAAGGCGAGAATCGAAAGCAGACAACAAGCGCATGTGCTATGGTCAGACGAACGGTTGGTCGGCTCTTGTAAGGCAGTGTTCAGTGAGCTTCTAGCGACGGGCCAGCGGCTTCCGGTCGCGCGTTCGGCACGCATGCGCAATGCCCTTCTACTGCATTGATCGGCGTCGAACGCGCGACCCGAAGCGCTTGCCGGTCGCGAGTCTGAACGGCTCCTCAAGGAGTAATTTTGGCTTGTGGAACAAGGGGTAATCAAAAGGCGCATCCAGCTATGGTGCCAGCCTCTCAAGCTTAACTAACATGCACTTAAAGCAGTTGGCACGATGGTTTCTTACTTAGCCTAAAAGCAGGTAGAGCGCTGTATCAGTGGGGACAATGGCGAGGAGGGGAGGCACGGAGTTGAAAACGGTCAAAATCCGGCGAAGAAAAGCTCCGTTCTCGGTGACTTGTAAATCGATTTCGGACGAGTTTCCCGTACGCATATTGCCAATCACCGCTAGCAAAGATACGGCTGCATATGTGAACCCATCTATGCATGCAGCATCACCGCCGCTTCATACCAATCCCTTTGCTTCATAATTTGCTCAGCAAAGGAATGAATACGAGCGTCAGAAAATGGTCGTCCCGTTTGTGGCGGGCGGGCAAGGAAGAGGGCGTGTTGTTGGACCGTAAAGTTGTTGCTCAATAGGGCGTTATAGAGGTACCCTCCTTGGAAAAGGCTTTCACGCAGCGCCTGTCCGAGGTCACGGAATTCTGTTGAGCCAGTTGTACAAATATTACACCTGTATAGCGATTTATCGTGCCAACCTGCCTTAAGAGTGATACCAGCTGCCATAGCCTGCGGACTACGCTGCCATATTCGTTCATGCGACTAACTTCGGCAGGCAATGGCGTACATGTTGTGCCCTTTTAGGGCTGAGAGATAGCGATTTCTTCCACTGCCTCGTCTAATGTCACTAGAAACGGTGAGGCCATTTTTGAGTAGCCAGTTACTAAATCGCATTGATTTAGCAGCCGGAAAATTGTCCCTTAAGTAAGGGAAGAGTCTCGGCCTTGCTGTCACTCAAGGAGAGATGGCAGAAAAAGCAAATTAGTAATCTGAGTTCTTGTTACTTCTGTCATCAT